GTGAACAATTTTGTATGTTTTTAACGCGAAAAATTTAAGTAAATGCATTAACAAATTATAGCTTATAATTAGTCGAATTAGCGAAAATTGACTATATTCATGACGCGCTTGTCAAGTGAAAAACACACTGCCCAAAGATTTTATTATTTATTCTAGTAGATGTGTCATAATACTCAGTAGCTGCAATAGATTGGATACCTGACACCGTTGCACTTTTGAGAAAAAATAATTTACCGCCAGCATACTAACACGAATATTTAATCCGCTGTCTGAAAGACGTTTTTAAAAATACACAATATTTTGTTTGCTTCAAGTGATCAGGATAATTTTTAGTTTAGGTTTATGCCTAGGCAGGAAATAATAAAATATGTAAGTTTCAAGAAGTTAGAATAAAAGCGCGAGATGAACTGTGAGATATAACAAAAAGCTCAAATATCACTTGCGTAATTAACGTTTTAACTTGTTTTCGAACGCGTCCGAAAATAATTGCGAAAAAATTTTTAAAACTGACTACAATTTCAAAGTCAACGTTTTTTGTTCATTTTATGAATGACTTCTTCCACACAAAAAATTTTGAAGGAAATCTGTAATCTTAAAAAATTCGAGTGGTCGGTTTTTACACGGACTGCCTCTTAATATTCCAAAGTTCTAACACCGAGCGTAGCACGACGACTTGGCAAAAGCCACAATTTTCTGGAAAAACCCATCTTAATAGTCATTTGCAAATTGAACTCTTACATTGACTCTCACGTCCGTGAACCAAGAAAGCATGGATGCCGTGTTACTTCACTGTCAAACGAAGAGGACGAGAAAGCAATACTAGATGGAGAGTTTACATTCGCATTTTGTAATCCCGAGTCTATGTATTATTCGAAATGCGAAATGGAGAGGAATGGTTTCATTTGAAATCTACAAGACAAATTTGCTTGCCGTTTTGTATTAACAGACAAAGTTCACGTCGGCCCAAAGAGGTGTGTTTAATAAATTTATAAAATACAGACTTTTTGAATGTATATTGCAGGATTAAATTGAATGTATATTGCAAGATTAAAGTGAATGAATATAAATATATATTTATATTAAATTGAATAGATGTGATGTTTTAAATTGAATGAAATTCAGGAGAATGAATATTGCTACAAATGGGCAGGCATACACTGGACAGTAAACATGCGATAAAACCCTGTCTAGACGGCCTGGCGTCAAGGATAATGATTGGATAATATTTTTAGAATATGATGCATTAAGCCATTATACATTTTTTGCATTCTTTATCCGAACCAGGAATCGCCAACAAATTCACCAGAGGTTTTTCCATTTTCTTCGCGCGTTTTCTCGCATTTCGCGTTCGCCAAACCTAAAAAACCTCTGGGCCAGGGTATAAAGCGTATAAAACAACTATTAAACAGAAGCGGGTGTTTGTACAGGCGTTTACGAAGAAAATATTGCGAGACGAAAGAAATCAGTTGAGTCAGAGCTCCTTATTTAAATAAGAAAGACGAGGAGATAGTCAATGTGCTATCGCCAACATGTTATCGCCAATCGCTTGGCTCGCCAACAAGATTTATGCAATGGAAGAAAAAAGCAAGGAGGTACATGTAGCCAACATGTACTCTCACGGACCTTGTTTACTGTCTAGCACAACGCCGTTGGCGTTGTCAACGGTGCAAACTCGTGTGCAGTGCAACGATAACTCTACGGAAAACAAGTTTAATTCTCCCCAACCTCGTCCCCAGTGTCTTCTTCGTGCCCGCGTCTTATTTGTCAGCGATCATCTGTACTTCGTGAAACGTTATGTAGAGTGATAGTATAATGACTCCAAGCAGTTTTATGTTTACAGAACTTCGAGAGAAGAAATAATCGATTATCAAGGGATTCAAGTAGGTTTTTAAAAATAAATGCAATATTATTTCAATCATAACTCATAGTGGGACCCCCTGTGTTTAAATATGCAATAAAAATATGTGGTATTTGACTACAGATGAGGATAACTTTCCATGTTGATAGATAACTTCGGAATAATTTCGCAAGTAGAATAGCGAGAAAGCAAGACAGCCAATTCAAGATAAAATCAAGATAATTTTGAAGCCAAAATGGCAAATACAAAATAGACACCAGAATAACACGAGGCCAAACCATGCCTGTTCGCAGGTTAGATGGCGGACAGGATGTAACCTCATCGCTGAATGGCTGAAATTATATAAGCTCGTCGCTGAATGGCTATGTGCTAACATGCGGTACGGTACGTTTGCGATAGCAATATTTCTGCGTCGTAGATACAAAAATAAGTCTCAGAAGATTCGGTAACATTTTATGTCACGTGCATATTTGTTTAGTTTAAAAAGAAACAAATCTCTGGATTTCAAATTTAATTTGCTTTATTTAATTGTGGTTGTTATAATGTGAGTTGTGCTTACAACTACACTTCTATTTCTACACAGTCATTTTGAGAAATTTGAATAGTTTCAATTTGGTATGAGCAATTAATATATAGAAGTTTCAGAAGTATTTTTATTTCAAAAACGAGTGAATTGCTGCTTAATTAGTACCACAATATCTACAAGGCCCACATTTAGCCGGCTCTAATTTGTATACGTAATACTGACCACAGTTGATCACTTCAATATGATTGATTGCGATTTGCCAACAACAGACGGGAGGACCAGTGTTGTAACAAACCTTGCGCGCAACTTTGCCCTCGGCAACCGTTGGATGGGTACCGTTCATCCAACCAGCACCACCGCCTCCACAATGTCGATGCCTTGCACACGTTGTTGGCATTTTTGTCCCAGCACCACCACCAAATCTATACCATCCATTACTAAGGGTTTCGTCATTGTAACGAGTATGACCACTGGCGAAATTCTCATTTCTTGAGCTTTCTGTAAGCCATTTATAGCTATAACATTCTTTGTACTTTGACATTTCTAAAAAGACTCAAATTTATTAGTGCATTGAAAATGATATTAAATCTCAAGAGCCGGTTTTCCACTAGGCGGCATTTTGCGGAGCGGATTTTTTCTTTGTCTTTTTTAATTAGTTCAGCCCGAGGAATTACATGCAAGACAAAGAAAAATTCGCCTCGGCGCAAAATTTGAACTAGTGAAAAACAGGCTAAATTCGTTATCCAGCTTACCCTGGAGCCAGAGGGTAGTTATTTTCGCCTGTTTTGAATAACCCTCTGGTGAAATTGGCGGGGTTTTTCGGGTTCATTCCACACATAACTTTCAAAATTGGAAGGAAAGAGTTGATTGGCTGCTGACTATAGGTTCGATAGATTCATAGACTACGTGTTCTGATTGGATATTGTAAACATCATAGCGTTTCGTGTTTTGATTGAATTGAAACATTTGAATTTTGAAATGTCTATATTATTAAATATACGAACAGAATTATACAGAAGCAGTTTTATAGGCTGCATTAATAGATAGATTGATAAATTTCCTGAATTAAAAGTTTAACGGAGCGTCAATACCGCGCGCCTTGTCCAATTTGATTCACATCAAGATGTATTTGCATCTTGCTATCGGTTATGGGAAGAGTTTAATATTCCAAAGTTCTAGCACCGAGAGTAGCACGACGACTTGGCAAAAGCCACAATTTTCTGGAGAAACAG